TGCGCCCTGGCCGGGGCAGGCGTGACCGACGTCGCAGTGGAGGAACGCCCAAACAAGACCAGCCCACCGTCGGAGCAGCATGGAAATATCATGTTCTGCCTGGACGTCGGACCCGGCGGCCGCAGTGCACCTGCACACGTGCGGAGAGGGGCGCTGGAGGCTACTCTGGAGCTTCTGCCATTCCGCGGCGCGACTGCTGGCAAAACGGCGGCGATTGAGGCGGTTGGGAACAGCTGCAGCAATGGTGATGGCGGTGATGGCGACATGGCGGTTTGGGACTTCATCTCAGCGCGGCCGCCGCCCAGGCGCCGCTGCGCCCGGCTGCTCAGCCACCTACCGGATGGCGGGGTGGCCCTTACGGCCCTCACGCCCGTTCGGTCTGCGGCCACGTTGTGGGGTGGCGGTCGCGGGGTTAGCGGCGTTGGACTTCGTCCTTTATCCAGACTGCACCGTACCATCTGAACGGATGGATCTGCCAAGAAAGATGACATCCAAGGCGGCTATGAGGCGATCACAAAGCTTCACCAAGAGCTTCTCCTTCATGGGGCCGGCCGGCCGTTAAGTCGCAACACCGGCTGCCGAGTGCCAACAGCTGCGTGCGCTGGCGCCGACGCGTTGTGGGCCGCGCTGCTGACGCCCAAGCTGCGATATCAACCATCTATGAATAAGTGGTAGCGGTGGCGGCTTGTCAGTTGTTAACGAATTAACAGACGTTGCGAATAGCCCGCGTTGGAATCGCATGGTTGGGAACACAACGCAAGTAAAAATGGGCTTCCTTGATGAACCTACTTTTTAAGCATTGTAGCCTTTGTAATTTTGGATGTTTTGCTGTAGATATTATTTTCTACATATATACTATAGGCACTCACGTGCTTTAAATCGCGCAATGCAATTGAACCATGGTAAAGACAATAATAAATGAACTGAGAGCTGACATGCCCCATGCTTTGTGTGTGTATGTGTGTGTGTGTGTGTGTGTGTTTTTTTTTGGCGAGTCGATAAAAGTGGTTTTGGACACTGGATGAGTTTTTAGGGGTGTGGTGAGGGGGATGTAATTCCACAGACATTCTGTCAGATTCACTAATGCAGTAGGTCTGTGCGGTGTTTAGTTATCGGAGCATTCTTTGAAAGTCGTGAATAGGGCCACCGAGTACCTAAAGCCGTGATATTCCCCCACAAAAACTTCTTTTAAATAACCGGGGATAGGTACATGAGCAGAGTAAATGCTATTACGAACGCCTATCACAATGCTGAGCGAATAGGAAAATCCATAGATGGAGAATTGTGCCGCGTTACGGGTGCTCGGGCGCACCCAATCCACCGTTACCCCAGCGGTGACCTTGACCCGCATCGTCTGTCTCGGCTCCAAAGCCAAACCGGCGTGGAATTGGGAGCGTTCGAGCACTCATGGTCCAGCGCAATTCTCCACCTAAATCCATTCCTGATACACATTTGCTTGCTCATAGTCATGTAACCCCGGTAAATTCACCCAACTTTCATATTGGTCGCTCCATAGACAGATGGCCACAGAGATCAACTTAACCCTCGCCGGCCGAGGGGGGGGGGGGGGGCGGGTGCCGCCCCCCCCCATAGGGTTTTTTCGCGATAGCTCCGAACACGCTGGCGATAGAGAGCTGAAACTTGGCATACCTGACCTTTGATCCAAGCCGGATCTTTTGACACCAACCGCATTTTTAGGTCAGGTCAGGTCACTGACCTATGACGTCATAAGTGAACCTCTGCACGGTCTTCAGATGTCGCAACTTCGCAACGCCCTCACTGCCAGAGGAGATGTCACAGGGAAATGAAACTTGCAGGATCTAGTATCCATTATGAGTCCCACAACTTGTATATCTCGGATTTTTTCTAAAGGTCATATGAGGTCAGGTCATTTTCGTGACCTCACCATTATAAGTCAATGGGGAAAAATTCAAACTGCTATTCTGGCGCCGGGAACGATCTCCAACTACATCAAGCACACAGAATCGTGATTTGATGCAATCCTTGCAAGGTTAGATGCGTCACTTTTGCAATGTTGACCTTCCGTGACGTCATTTATGACGTCATCAAGGTCATATTAGTTTTTCGTCAATAACTCATGATCAAATTGAGCTAGCGAGTCGAGAAAGCCACCAATGGACTCAGGAAGGTCTGCCGAATCGAATGATATGCGACATGACCTCTTTCGACCAACTTCGTGACCTGGGGGTGCTGACCTGACCTTGACCTGAGGTCAACACCCCAAGTTGACCTGACCCGGACAAAAAGTATACCATTCGACGCGCCTGAGCGAGGCGAACACGATGCTGCCAAAATCGGCGCTCTGCGGCCATTTTTTGCGAAGTTATTCACCAAAAACTGAACCGTACCTTGGGGCGCTTGACCTGACCTCAGAGGTCACCGGTTGACCTAGGACCTTAAAATCGGGTACCAATCTCTGCGTCTCGTAACGGCGCACACGCTCGTTTTTTCCGCGACGCGCTAGCTCCACCAGGGGCGAAACGGCGAGGGGGGGGTCGTACCCGCCCCCCCCCCCTCGGCCGGCGCGTATGTAGAAAACCAATAGGTCCGGCGAGGGTTAAAAGGCCATTGTTGCATTCATTTAGTGGAGATCATTAAAGAGCCGTGACAGGCCACAAGTCGCGTGACATCATACGTGTAACGACCAATGACGACGGCCTGCAAAACCCAATGGAAGCGGCTAGCAGCGTGCAATAAAACAGGGCGCTGCTTTCTAAATGTCTGTCGTGCGCCATAAATGAATGTATTCTTTGTAGCCTGGCAACTCAGTATCTTTTTTTAACTATTGTACTAGTATTTAATAATATCATAATTTTATAATTGTGCTTACGCTTTATGTTGATATTGGTGATAAATCCTTAGATAAAGTAAATCGATGTGATATTTAATAGAAAAATAGCAAACTAACGCACCATTCATTCGAAAGCTGGGGAACCTACTAAAAAGAACTACTAAAATTCCTGAGGAACTTAAGGATCAAATGGGGATTAAATAGATGCCTGCTATTCCGTCGTGAAAACGGCCAATGTGTAAAATCGATTTACAAGAGGGTACTGAAATTTTCGCGCGATCGGCGCATTAGTTTGAGAGATAATGCGAAACGACTGGAAGTGGGGGGGGGGGGCAAAAATACCCCCCACCAGGGTGCGGGCTAAAAAGTTTCCACTGGGTACCCTAAGGTAAAGGTAATCTCAAGATTGTGGATACGCCGCTGGATGTTCTCTACGACATTAGACTAAGAACAGTGTAAACACGAGCGACAAAATATGAAAATGAAACAGAAAATTGATTGACTTTCACATCGGGTTTGACAGCTTGGAGAATATTTGAAGTGCCTTATATTTACTCCTACAGGGTGTGCAAAATCTCGTCACTGCAGGGGCAACTGACAGCCACTGCGGGACATTTTCCGCCTTGCAGTAGCGCGGAACACCTTCAATTAAGGGGGGGGGCATTTTCGACTTTTAGTTCCATTCTTTTCATGCAACGCCCATAGGGCTATGTTAAAATGCCGAAATCAAGGGGACACGGTTCCCCGTTGATTAGCGTTCCGCCGCCTATGCCCTCCCCTCCCCCTAGTTAATGCATGTAAGCACAGACATCCAAACACTCAGACGGGTACCTACTACCTACTACCTAGCCCGCGCCCCGCTGGGCTATTCAGCCATACGCGCCCTGCTGGGGGGGGCAGATTCTGCCCCCCCTGTCTAACTTCCGAACCGATGGTCGTAGAAAGACGGGGAAAACGGCAATCGAAAGCTCTCAACAAGGCGGATCTTAAGAGCCCAAATTTTTTTGCTTAAGTAGGTCAGAGGTCAGGTCAAGGTCAGGTCAAGGGTACAAAATGCAAGTTTCTACAGTATCGGCCTTGCACCGTAGTTGCCGAAGAATGGACTGAGACTGATTGCCCAAAACGTGTTCTTAGACTACCAAGACAATATTCGTTGCACACAATGTCATTCAAAGGTCAAGGTCAAGGTCAGGTCAGGTCAGGTCAGGTCACCAAAAACAAAATATAGAAAAGGGCATGTGCGACACATGTTTTATGGGTCATTTTACTCATGGAATTCAATAGGCACACTCAATAAGTGATGTGGACCACCTCTGAATGAATATCAGGTCGAGGTCAGGTCAAGGTCAGGTCAAGTGAGGTCAAATTTTGAAGTTGGTTGTTAAGGCCTAAAAAGGTGTCTATCCGATGCAGTTTTTCACGGCGAATCGAATGGTGCTATTTTTGTTTCCGTACGAGGTCTAGAACTTCAAAAAAAAATCATTTTTCCAAAAATTTGTGTGTCGTGACGTCATGAAATTTTGAATAACTCCCACATTTTTGAACCGATTCTTCTAAAAAATGGTATGTAGGTGCACATGGACCACTTCTTTGACATATATTCCGGTTTTTTCGATAAACTCAAAATTTTGGATTTTATAAATATTTTCCCAAAAAAGTCAGTTTTTTGGGAAAATTTTTGGCCAAAATCCAAAATTTTAAAAAAACCGAGATAGCCATTTGATAGACAAAGTAGAATCACGTATAACCTTTTTTGTTACGTCTTGATTCCTTTAAAAATGAAGATGTTAGCGGCGTTTGAAATTTTGCCGTTTTTGAGGCGAAAATGGCGAACATGACGTCACTAAAACGTCAATTTCTCAAAAATTTTCCGACGGATTTCGCTCAAATTTTCAGGAAACGTGTCAAATTGATGTATGATAAGGTACTGAAAGTTTGACGTCGCTGGCGTAACGCGTTTAGAAGTTATTGGCGAAAAACGGGAGGGGGGGGGGGGCAGATTCTGCCCCCCCCAGCGGGGCGCGGGCTAGCACACAGAGAAGACACACAAAGACTCACAGAATCACATACACACCGTTACACAAACACCTATGGTCTGACTATAGACACAGACGCACAAAACACACTCAACAACAGACACAGGGACACACAGACCCCCCCCCCTCACACACAGGTCGGTCCTGCTCACCTGATATTCGCCGCCTCCGCCGTGGTCGGCTCCGGTGGACAGAGCTCAGTACCGTCCACACACTGTTGGACCACCCGCTCTGTCGACTGAACCGGCCGGTGGACGCAGTGCAGCTCGTGCGGCTCCCACTCCTCCGTCGGCCTTTGTCCCCGTCTGGAAGTGCGTCGAACATCAACACCGCGAGTCGGTGTGTCGGCAGAATCGATCGTGTTCAGTGAGTCGGCGGCGCGGTGTTCCAGACTGATGACGTCAGTGGGGGTCACTAGGGTTACAGGGACAACACGGGCCGCCGGTCGATGTGCAGTCCCCCCACCCCTCCCCTTCCCTTCCCCAGTACCCGGGACAACTCATGCAACTCGTCAAAACAAAACATAGTGACGAGCAGACATGTGCAGGGATGGAAGAGGCGAGTCTATGATCTCAGTGGATGTCTCGACAAGTTGGAGGGTTCGGACCTACATCTCATCCCTCGCCCGGTCAGGAGTTGGGGAGGGGATATTGATTAACCCTCGCCCGCACATGGGGTGGTGGTAACCACCTTCCCCCCCCCCCCCCCCCCAGGTAGTCTTTCTGCTCTGCACTCAACATTGTTAGAGCTAGAAGTCTGATTTTTCGTAAAGCTGCTCCTCTATCCTTTCTTGAAGTTTCTGTGGTTTTTGGTTTCGGAGATATGACCTTGTTTTTCAGGTCATGTCATGACCCATATGACCAATTCTCAACATCTTGCGTTGGCTATGGGCCTTGTGAGCTTTTCGCACCTTGCTGTCGGCTTTTTTTGCCAGTCTTACCTCCCACCTATCATGGAACATGATAATCGACGATGTACAGATGTCAAGGTCAGGGTCAAGGTCAGCCTAGGCCATCTAAAATAATTGCGTTTTAGGCAGGCTGAATTTACTTTTCGTGAAGTTTTTTACTGCATTTTTGGTAAAAGCTTCACACATCATGATTTCATGTAATATGGACACATAAACAATCGGTGCACACATCAGTATACACACAGACACACACAGACATACAAACACATTTAATTGACCTTGACCTAACTTGACCTGAAATGACCTCAGCAGCAAAAACCTGGTCGGATAGTGTGACAAAGAGGTTCTAGCTGGCTTGGCACCAGAAAACGGCATCGTCATCGGTATATGATAAGCAGCGCACTTGATATCCAACGGTGACCCAAAACAGCAACATTTTTTAGTTTGACCTGACCTGGAAGGTCAATGACTGACCTGAGAAGGTAAAACTGGGTATCATTGGATTCGTCTCTTCCCAAAGAATCTTTTTGGTCTTTAGCGCTAAGCTCTATCTCCAACAGGAACTAAATGGCGCGGGGGGGGGGGGCAACGGTGACGAGCGTTAAGCGGGAGGGGGGGGGAATGAAAAGCTTTTATACATAAATAAGTAAAAGTCTATTCTTGAATGAAATGGAAACGGTTAAAATGCAAAAAATATGTGGTCACAAATGCGGTTCACTGAATCGTTCTCGTATGGCCACGTCGGCCTTGTCGTACGTAAGGCCGCGTCGGCCACGTCGTATGACACCGGGCCGTCGCGCACCGGTGGAGTCCCGTCGAAGACTGTCGGGCCCCCGTCCCGTCTCAGCCCTCGTGGTAGCACAACACGTGGGCCTGAGAACCAGGACAGGGGCCAGATGCAGGGCTGCGGAGTCGATGGATTTTCGGCGACTCCGACTCCGACTCCGACTCCGGCTTTCAAAAACCAGCTCCGACTCCGACTCCGACTCCGGGCAGAATTGTCGACTCCGACCGACTCCAACTCCCGACTCCGACTCCGCAGACCTAGCAGGGCTGCGGAGTCGACAGATTTTCGGTGACTCCGACTCCGACTCCGGCTCGGGTTTCTAAAATCGACTCCGACTTCGACTCCGACTCCGGTCACAACTGTCGACTCCGACCGACTCCGACTCCGACTCCGACTCCGACTCCGCAGCCCTGGCCAGATGACACATATGTGCCCGGCGCGGCGCGGCGGACCGACCGCCGCGCTCCGAGCGCCGGCCGTCTTTGCGAAAATACCTAAAAATACCAACGTATTTGCTCGCTAACACCAAGGTTTACCAATGTTGAACAGGAGGGACATTTTTATTGGTCCATCTAGTACCTACCCTTTAAATATCGTGTTTCTAGATGTCATATAAGTCAATCGCCAGGGGGTCATACACCCGCCTCCTGGCCGCTCGCATTAGGAAAAACGCTCTGGCATTGAGAAGAATCTGACACACCTACAGCGTTATGTCGGACTTACAGCGAAGTGATACTGTGTATTGCAGGGACCGTGACATTTTACACCGAATCATGTCATCTTGCATATCAAAACGATGTATTTCAAAACGAACAAAAAGTAGCTGTTCAAACTACCTATGTATCAATGGGGAACGTTCCGGCTGGGGACGGCTGGGGACGTACCGGCTGGGGCCGTACCGGCTGGGGACGTACCGGCTGGGGACGTACCGGCTGGGGACGGCTGGGGACGTACCGGCTGGGGACGTACCGGCTGGGGACGGCTGGGGACGCATAGTCTCTCTTGAAAGTATCGCGTCATGCGCTGCGGCGGCTCGGCGAACTATTCCATTCAGTTTGAGGACCCCAGCAGTGAGGTCATGGCCTGTATCATGAAAAGTACGCTCTAGCACGATCCTACGCCAGCGGTAGAAGGAAACTGCTATATGACGCAGGCACCAGCGGCTGACAATTGGGTCGAGGCAGGTGGAGGCCGGCCAGAGGTCAAGCTCGTATCGCTCTCCGTTGACCCGGTCCACCGCCCCCGGCGGATACCTGTGCCGCTTGGCTTCACCAGCCGAGTGCTCATGGTGGGCGCCCACCACGTGACGCGTGAAATCGCAACGGAGAGCAAAGCTCCGCCATAACCCTACTCTGAAAGGCTCTCTGAACGACTTTACAAATTACAGGTCATGGGAGGGGGTGGCGTGCAGCCTGGCATTTTTTTCTATGCCGCCACCCATTAGCAGGTGACCAGGAGTGCCCCATCCCTCTATCCCAGCGACACACAGAACCTTACTTTAACACCATAATAACTTAAAATTGCACGTCGCGGCACTCCCTGCAAGGAAATGAGATGTAACATAAAAAAGCAGAAAGGAGAAAGCCATACGAATTAGGGGAACAAAAAAGAAGCAAAGTAGTCAACACTGCAATCAGTGGTGACTGCCCACTACTGAAAGCCCCCAATTTATCAGCACACTCACACATTCATTACATTCATAACATTCATACACGTTGGGGAAAGTGTCCAAGTCCACTGAGGCAGTTTAGTTTGAGGGGGATTCACAGTCATAGCCAAGTCATCATCAAACTCTGGTCAAACTCAGCGTATGTCAGCAGCAAGGTAGCCCGGGCTCCCAGAGCACCCAACGAAGCGAGGCTTGTTGTCGGGCGCTCCAAGATCCCAGGCCGCCAAACAGATGGGGTGGCATATTACAGTATCATGCACACATCACACTTACACACTCATTTACACAAATAAATGATATGCACAAATCCATGTCCACAAATCCAAATCCATCCATCCATGCACAAATAAATGCGGTGCGAGCGACTTTAGCGAGTGTCATTCGAGCGAACGTCATTTGAGCGAACCATTTTCAGCGAAGGCAATTCAGCGATTATCAAGTTAAGCGATTATCAAATATAACGATTATCAATTTTAGTGAAAGCTATGTTTCAGCGATACCTATTTCGTCGACTACAATGTGAGCGACTGTCAGTTCAGCGAAACACTTCATCGTCCTATTACGGTGTATTTTTTTTTTTTTTACTTTTGCCAGCGCATACGTATAATAGTAAAGTAACCTTGCGTACGAAAGTTTTCGGAGTTTCTCATGGTTATCTGGAACTGGATGGCGGATGTCACGTTCTAAGGTCAGACATTGAGTTCCAAATTTAATGCTACATTTCTAAAAAAAAATCAACGGTTCAATTTCACTACCCTGCTCTTTGCCAATCATGGTGACCAAACATTTGTTCAGAGATTCATATCGCTTGCGCTGTTTTTCACGAAATTCCCCCGCTTGAATTTGGATCAGTTCCCATGTTTAAATTTTGTTCTTGCCCCAAGCACCGTACAAATTTCCAGGTATTTGGGTGAGGTCCCTGAAACATAGACTGGATTTCCCTGTGCCATCTCTCGAGTTTATTATTGGTCCTTGGCATTCCTTCCGTCGTCCTATCTCTCACATTCCACATTTTCAATTCAAATTTTGCCCGCCTCCTTCCCCTCCCACCCCTTCAGGGGGATGTCGTCCCGGTTCTTCCCATGTATTATTCGCCAATCAGCTTAACACTACCGGTGACGTCACTGGTGGACCGCCAATCGGGGCCGACCGGCCGGGCCCGTAGAAGGCCAGACGCAGACGTTTTCAGAAAAGCGTAAGCCGTATAGATACAGTCGTGGATGGAGTTTTGCTGTGATTCGGCTCTCCAAGAGTGCGTCAGGGTATGTATGTACCAGGACCCGGACAAAGGTCATAGTGAACCGGCATCTGATAAAATCCGCTCACCACTTATCAGCCGACTTCGACCCTTCACCCTTGTACAACACAAAAGCCTGCCGGTCATCAATCCACCTGCATCTCTGCATCTGCTTACTACCTATATCGACCAGTTACTGCAGCCGTTTTGGAGTGGCTCACGGCCGATAACACACCAGGCGTGCGCTAGCCGCCGGTGCTAAGCGCTAACCACTGATTGCGCGTGGCCGACTGCCGCCCCGATGGCGCTGGCCCCCGGCACCGGCGCGGCGCTGCTGACCCATGGAGGGGGGGGGGGCTGATAATTAGTTGAGCCGGAATTGGGATAGAAGCCGGTATGGGATTGGGATAGAAACTCAGCGAGACTAAGGGATTGTGTGGTGCCCTCGGTACGCCCCTCAAAATCACCCGTGTAGGGCCCTCAGGGCCGCCGGTTATGAAGCCTTTGGAGGTTATGAAGCCATTTCGAAAATTTTCTTGACCTGAACTACGAAACAGCAACAGCACAACACAAGCAAGAGCCACATTTGGCCATTGATTCTACTCACTCGTGGCAGGACGTTGAAGACGAAGCTTCTAGGGTACCCTCGTCTGAAAGGTAGTGGACGGCCCTCCTCGTTCAGCCGTCACCTCGGCCCAGAGACGGCGGTCTGAGGAAACGTCCTCACCCGAGCACCGTGACCACTGGAAGCGCTCGTCGCCGACGCCAGTCCCACTA